GTGCATCATTTATTTGGGAAAATGCAGTTACTGGAACCAGATGCACAAACTGGCTAATGAAGGAAATATGATTAGGAGAGTAGCTCTTTGGTTATTGGCAAATAAATGATCAGAAACATTTTGCTGTAGGATGCTGAAGCCCATGGAAATAAGAAGATCAGTGCTCACATTTCTCTCTTAGAAGAAAACGAGCTACTGCCTGATAGAGGGAATGTTCTGTTGAGGAATGTGGCTTGTACCTTAGATGATGCTCCATTTGTACTGAACAGAGTACTCTACAGGGACATGAAAGGGATTAGGTAAGAACTTCTTGAAGAAGTTGGTTTCGCCCCTCTAAAATAATCATTCCTTTCCAATGTAAACTAACATTGAAATCCTAAGTTAGCTATTCAAGAGATAATGTTTCAACCCACCAATGCTTCTAGAGTGGGAGCTGAAGCACTTCCAGTCCTGATGATTTCACCTGATCATTTCTAGAGCTCTCTTAGGCAATGATTTGCCATGTAGGGACTCTGCTTCACAATATCAGTTCAGTTATCTCAGCCTGTTCTGTAAATTAAGTCTCTGTGTTTTCTGTTAAGATCTAAGCTTGGTTCTTAAATCTTTCTTCCAAGTGAGAGTCTCCAAACTGGTTATTTTATCTGAGTCCACTTCTCTGATATATAATGCCAATGATTGTGAATGGAGAATTGATCTAGTGTCCCGAATGGTTTAATCTAAAGCCTCTCACTCTGCCTTTCCCCCAACCTGGTATTCCTATTCCTCAGCTTTACAGTAGTGGATGAAGGGAAGCCAATCCATGTCCCCCAAGTTCAGCACCATGGGAATATCTTCTTTTGGAACCGTTCCCGCTGTGAGAATAATCGTAATGGGTCATTCTTGGCTCTGCCTCTTCAGGATGCATATATGAGGATCTTTGGGGTCATTGCTGTTGACACCCTAAAAGATCCTCAGGAAATAAACATCTTCCTACCTCATGAGATCAGATTCTACCAGGTAAGTCACAAAAGAATTATTCAAGATCAATGGTTAAGATGGTTTCTTCATCTATACCTTTTAAACAGTGAAACCTGAAACCAGACAAGAGTAAATCTGTGTATATAGACAGTGTCATCTTACCGTTCCTGTGCGCTGTATGTATATATCAGTCTTTGGAGAGGTTTCCCATTACTCAGAGAAGAAGTGTCAGCCTCAGTTGCACATCTGTGCCACAGCCTCTCTAGGAAGATTGTTAATATTGTCCCTTAGTATTAATCATGGGAACAGTATTTTAGGGTGCTTTGAGTCCCGATATAAAATTTTGATGATTTTAAAGAATTTGTGGTTCTTGAGTTTCTTGACAACAAGATGACAGGGGTTCTAAGGACTTCCTGTGGAACAGGTTCTCCTTATGTCTGCAGGAGGACTGTGTAATCCAGCATGTTGCAGGCCTTGGAACCAAACACATACTGTACTGCTGCTCTGATGATAGCAGCCATGTAAAGATGCAGACATTAATATGGGCAGCTTCTACCTATTTTCCCAAGGCTGGCATTTGTTCTTGGCTTTTGAACATTTTTCTTTTTCCATTTCAAAGCTTATCTTCTAACACTATTCTCTGGTAGCAAACATCACAAATTTCACTGGATGATCATCAGGAAGTATAGTAAACTATGTGGATTTTATAGTAGAGCTTTCCTTACACTTTCGATTTCTTGGTGATCCTTTTTTTCACAGTAGAATCTAGAACACTACCTTTTGAGAACTGATGAATAATTTGTAGGAAGTAAATTATCACTAATTAACAATGGATTCTTAGGTATAACACTGAAAGCATAAGCAACAAAAAAACAAAATAGATAAATAGGATCT